TGCAGTACTAATAAAATCAGAATCATCTTAAAGAACACAAATCAGGCCATTGTTCTTTGTTGCTGAATGTCTCCCAGTAGATTTCCATTGCATTTAAAATGAAATCCACACTCCTTTTCCTGGCATGCAGGCTAACCATGTGCTGAAACTTGCTGGTTCCTGTAAATTCATCTGACCTCACTGTCTCCCAGCCCGCCATCTTCCAGCCTGCTGGCTTTCCTTTTCTGTCTTGAAGAAATGGAGGAGGAAAAATAATCTTGGCTTTCTATGGGAGAAATATTTCTCCTCTTTTCATTTCTGTATTTCAGTACATATGATAGTGTGTTGTAGACATAGGTTGTCAATAAGTATTTTTAAATAAGTGAAAGATATTTTACAAAAGCAAAGGAAGGAGGGAAGTTTTCCATGGTGATGATATAGTTTGAGCACATTCTTGGTGGTGTGAAATTTATGTGAGGTTTTAAGGAATGACTTGCAAGGTTATAATAATGAGATTTGTAAGAAGGATATGTTATATTTTAAGGTAGTTAGTGATGGTTTCATTAAAAAGATGGAAGAATCTATGATATTTACATTCTTGTGGATGTCTATGTCTCAGAATTGTATAGTGTTTTGCAGTTTCCAAGTACTTTCACATATGTAATCTCATTTATGCGAGATCCCTGTTTTTCTAGCTTAATGAAGGCCAGGGATGCATAAAAGCTTAATTAGAGACAGAAGAAAAATAATTTCTTTTTCTAAGGAGCCATATATGTGTAATGAAAGAACAAAAGGAAGTTTTGTTTTTAAGAATCATCTTAGACTTTGCATTTTTATTCATTTCTGACAATGGAAAAGTGGCTATGGCTGCCAACTCAGCAGTCTTTCCAAGTAAGCTGTTGAGTAAGAAGCCAAATGTCTTGTCTATGAAAAAAATATATATATCGACAGTTAGGCATCTGAATGCCACCTCCAGATAGGAAGGAAATGAACATGTGTGCATTTGATTTAACACTTTAAAATGTGGTCTCTCACATTGCTCTCCCAAGACTCATCACCCTGTATTTTGAGAGTCCCTCTGAGTACAAGGGTTCACGCCAATCTCACAACTAAATACATACAAGTGCACTTAATTGTGATTTAAAACAATTACTCAGTCCATGTAGATAACTAAAGTTTTTTTTTTTCTTAGTAGTTCAATAGTTCTAAACCAGCCAGGAGATCACTTTAAAATGAACCAGGCACAGCTTGCAAAATGCCATTACTCCTCTCAGGACAAACTAATAAGCAAGGAAAATAGGAATTTCATTGGTTATGTGGGAAATCATTCTATACTATGCCAGAAAACATATTCATTTAGTATAGGTACAGTGTATGAGCTTAATATAACCATTTGATTGAACAAACTATTTACCTAAGTCAACCTTACGATTTCCTCCCTCCACTTCTCACAGTAGATTTCATCTAATCCTCATGCAAAAAGTGGGTAATATCAACATTTATTAATAATGATTTTATTGTTTACAATGTTCTATATGTTCTTTGGTCTTTTGAAACTTTCTTCAGCTCTTACTTTACTGTCATCCACTGGAATTGCACCATTAGGTTTTAGAAACTGTAGTTTTAATTGGAATATTTTTATTCAAACTTCCTGTGGCCACCTCACAATATTAAAATTCTGTGACCTTAAAACTACAAGGACTTCCAATAGTCATAATTAGATATTACATTAAATCATTATTAATCTCTGCATTCTCTATAAAATGTTTCATTTTCATACAAATGAAACACAGATTTTCCTTTCTGTAAATTACAGAATTTTCTACCTGTGTCATGCACAGGTGATGCTTTATTATCTATGATCTATATATGAGCATCCTTGTACCTGTCCCCCTTACACACCTACAGAAAATTGAAAACCTATGCAACTTCTTGTTAACTTTGTCCTCTGACCCACTAACATCATCCCTTCTAATCTTAACAACACTGGTAGTGGATATGTTTTCATACTTTCCTCCATTTTTACATAGTTTGTATGCAAACAATATTATTAAACTAATAACTAACAATGTGTAACTACTTGTTGTGGGAAGTCAGGGACCCTGAACGGAGGGACCAGCTGAAGCCGTGGCAGAGCATAAATTGTGAAGATTTCAGGGACATTTACCAGTTCCCAAAATTAATACTTTTATAATTTCTTACACCTATCTTTATTGCAATCTCTGAACATAAATTGTGAAGATTTCATGGACACTTGTCACTTCTCTAATAATACTCTTATAATTTCTTATGTCTCTCTTTACTTTAATCTCTTAACCACGTTATCTTTGTAAACTGAGAATGTATGTCACCTCAGGACCACTATTGTACAAATTGATTGTAAAACATGGTGTTTGAACAATATGAAATCAGTGCACCCTGAAAAAGAACAGAATAATAGTGATTTTCAGGGAACAAGGGAAGATAACCGTAATGTCTGACTGCCTGCGGGGTTGGGCAGAATATAGCCATATTTTTCTTCTTGCAGACAGCCTATAAATGCATGTGTGAGTAGGAGAGATATCACTGAATTCTTTTCCCAGTGAGGAATAGTAATAATTAATATCCTGGGGAAAGAATGCATCCCTGGGGGGAGGTCTATAAATGGCTGCTCTGAGAGTGTCTGTCTTATGCGGTTGAGATAAGGACTAAAATATGCCCTGGTCTCCTACAGTACCCTCAGGCTTACTAGGATTGAGAAATTCCAGCCTGGTAAACACTAGTCAGACTGGTTCTCTGCTATCAAACCCTGTTTCCTGTTAAGATGTTTATCAAGACAATACGTGTACAGTGGAACATAGACCCTCATCAGTAATTCTGATTTTGCCTTTGCCTTGTGACCTTTATCACCCTTTGGAGTATGTGATCCTTGTGACTTACTCACTGTTCATACACCCCCTGCCCTTTTAAAATCCCTAATAAAAACTTGCTGGTTTTGTGGCTCAGGGTCGTCATCATGGTCCTACCAATATGTGATGTTGCCCCCAGAGACCCAGCTGTAAAATTCCTCTCTTTGTACTCTTTCTCTTTCTTTCTCAGGCTGCCTGACACTTAGGGAAAATGGAAAGAACCTACATGGAAATATTGGGAGCTGGTTCCCCTGATAACTACTGTTGGTTTTTCATATTTAATTCTAAGTTCTGAGAAGCAACGAATTACGTCAATCTAATTATATCATGGTTGGACCATACTTACCACAGTTCTGGGTATGTACAAAGCAAGTTAGCTAAAAATATTGGTAACATTGTATTCTGGGAACCAATTTATGTATTTTGCCTCAGTTAATTCAGTTAGTATTTAGAAAACTCTTTTGAGATAGGCTGTTATTATCCTTATTTTATGACCTTAAAAGAACAAAGTAGGCCTAGCGCAGCGGCTCACGCCTGTAATCCTAGCACTTTGGGAGGCCAAAGTGGGTGGATCACCTGAGGTCATGAGTTCGAGACCAGCCTGGTCAACATGATGAAACCCCATCTCTACTAAAAATACAAAAATTAGCCAGGCATGCTCTCAGGCATCTGTAATCCCAGCTACTAGGCTGAGGCAGGAGAATTGCTTGAATCTGGGAGGTGGAATTTGCAGTGAGCTGAGATAGTGCCATTGTACTCCAGCCTGGGCGACAGAGAGAGACAGTCCCAAAAATAAAAATAAAAAAATAAAAAAGTAAAAACTGAGTGAAAAATTAAGTAATTTGATCAAGACCTCAAACCTGTTTTGTGGAAGGTTCATGAGCTATAACGTGTTCTTCAGAAATACTTTAATGGACAAATAATTTGTGAAAAATTGCATAAGGTGAAGATAGCTAATTTTGCAATAAATGTGTATAGCTTATAAGTATACAAATGTATTCCTTGAACAGCAAATCCTTCAAAATTTATAGATTACTTACAATGGCAATTTGATCTCTGTAGAATATTGATGTATTCTATTTAGTCTACAGGTAAGAGTTTTACCTTCAACTCATCATCAAAATAGGTTAACATAAACAATATATCTATAAATAAAAACAAATGATTTTGTTCTCTCTATAAGAATCAGACAATGGCAGAGAGATAATATTAACTGGTGACCTGTAATTATAATTTGTACTTTGTAAACTTTTCCTGGAAATGGGAGAAAACTGATTGCCACCTCTAAAAATTCTCCTGCCCTACCATTGTGAATATTTGGAAGGCCTCTTTTTTCTTGGCTTTTTAGACATTCCAAGATCTAATTCAATTTCAAGATTCAGTGAAAGTTGTACAAAACAAAAGGAAGAAATTCTGAATTTATATTGGAGCTATGAAATATTATGCAGAAGCCCTTGTTTCTGTACAGTGTAATAATCAATCAATTCCTTCCTAAAGCAGAGGCAACTAACTGCATTTTTCTTTGCAGAACTCTTGGCATCCTCAATCTGATATTAGAGATTCAGAAACTACAGTTCTGTGAATTTGAGTGTCTCACCCAATGTCAATAACTCCTTAGATCAAGTTTGGATAACTAATATCTTTCCCAACTGTATTTCACAATTTTATCATCATTTTTTGTAACTATTAATTTCAGTGATCCATCATTAATATAGTTATATTTGATGATGTAAAAATGTTGCATCACTTTACCTGGAGAGCTCTTTAATATCTTCCAGCTTAGATACTGCCAAAATAATAAATAGGGTACATGAAATACTATTTACTTAAATGGTCTCATGTGTATTGTGCTGGGATACACAATATGAAAATATTGCTTGCAGCTGCCACTATATACACAGGTGATCACATGAATGAGATCTTGGTAGAAACACTTGTTTGGAAGTGATGTGTGTAGGAAGCTGAGAAATCAAGGGGAAGAAAGTTCTGTTCTTTTTTTGCTTTACTCCCAGACTGTTTCTGCCCTTAGCAGTGCCTCTGTTTGTCATGAGTTCACAAACCAGTTCTTTCAATAGAAAAATCATCAATCATAAAAACAAGCAAGAGCCCCTCAAATGCTTGTCACTGTCTTACCTTCTGCTATCATGGGAGAGAATCGACTCCACTTAGAGATGCAATAATCAGCAACTTTCCTTTGTGGAGCAGATGGTGTTGACAGAGCTTGTTCACAATGCTTGGGTATCACTGCAAATTAAGAAAAGAGTCCTTTCTATCTGTTACACTTCTTTTGTTTGTTTGTTTTTTATTTTACCGTGAGTTCTCTATTATGCTGCAGGCATGAAACTGAACAGCAATTACAGTTCATTTGCGCTCACAGAATGCTAGTGTTCTAGATATGAAATTCCATGCTTTACAGAAAATGGACTTAAACTCTAGAATAGGGCCACTTTTTTAACCGGTTATATTCAAGGGCTCCAACTTTTCCAATAGGTGAGATTTTTCAGTTAACTGAGGCTTATTCTTTTAAATATAATTTTAAATCTACTCTTATTTTAAATAATATATTCCTAAAGTATTACAACATTCCTGGAATTAACAAATGAAATGTATAATGTACTGTGAATTGGGGTTTAAGTCATGAACAGGTAACATTTTACTAGTTTGAAAATCATGACGTTCTTTGGGGCTGCACAGATGTATGAGGTGTTCCTGTCAATTCCTAATGTTCCTAGATTGGTATACATGTTTAGTTGTTTAATTTGCTTCTTTTTTTTAGTGTATCAATGTATAATTGACATACTACAAACTACATATATTTAAAGGGAACAATTCAATAAGTTTTACCCACTATATACTCTTGTGAAACCATCAGCATGATCACGAAACTGAAATCCATCATCCTGAACAGTTTCGTCATACCCCCCTGGCCTTTCCTTCTCAAACCACCACCCATCCCTAGACAACCAGTGATCCACTTTTCCCCACTATAGATGAGCTTGTATTTCTTAAAAATTTATAGAAATGAAACCATGCAGCATGTGTATGTTTCAGTGTGGCTTATTTAGCACAATTATTTCAAGATTCATCCACATTGTAAGGCATGTCTGGAATTGATTCATTTTAATTGCTGAGTATTCTGTTGTATTAGCTTTGTGAAAAAGTAATTGCGGTTTTTGATCATTTGTGTACATCTTTTTGTGAGCATAAGCTTTTATTTCCCTTGGGTAAATATGCAGAAATGGAATTACTATGATTGATATATTTGCTAGAGATATCACAAAACCATTTGATATTTTATAAATATTTTTTCGTATTCTACTTAATCTAGAGGCTGGCTACTAAAATTATTTTGCTTTTACCATCACTGTATTTTGGCTTTAATATTTAAGTAGTGATTAGAATTTAAGTTGAACTGTAGGTATTTAAAATATTTGTAAATATCTCCTGCTACATTCAAGACAAATATGTGCAAAATTATGTTCATTTGTCAAAATTTCAATTTCAAATTACTTTGACTTAGAATCTACAAAATCTCCAATACATATTTTAAATACATTTTAAAATTTAAGGCATTTATTTTAGAACAATGAATTTGAAATCAACCTAGCTTAAATCTATAAACACTCACATTTCATTTGAGAGAACTCAATATTTGAACCTTAGGTGATGAGGTTATAGATACCACTTTTATATTAGCTCTCTGATTCTTTGTTTGCATAAAAGTAATTTCAAAAAGAGACTGACTGTAAGGGATATAAAGAAATACTAGGGAACTTTCCCCTATCAGTTCACAATCTTTTTGAGGTATTGTTCTCAAATATATTAACAAAAGTTATTAGTTTGATCAAAAAATATTTCATGGTGGATCCACTGAGGATTCCTTAATATTCTTTACTTTTATGTAAAGCACTTGGCAAAATTTATTTGGATTATTATCAAGATTGAGAGTCTGAAGTTTTAAGCTGACAGAGACTCCAGAGTTCATTTAGTCTAGTCTCTTCATTTTACAAATGATTATGGTAAAGGGGCTCAAAACCAAATGATTAATTGGTAGCAGTTTGTTTACACGCACGGCACATGGTGTTTGGCATTGAAAACTTGCATTCTGATTGCATATTCTCTTTGAACTCTGTTTTTCTCACATACAAAGTAGGGGATGGGGGCTATGTATCTTCATATCCCTTTTGGCTTTAAAATCTGTAAGACTCAAGAGAGTAAAGCACCTTATTATATTTTCTGGTCTTTGATAAATTGTCATATATGAGAGTGATAACCCTTTTGTATAATTGTGAGATAACTTATTATTTTATAAATCCACCATACATTTAATAGGTAGTTAAAATATGAAAGGCATTATGTTAGATACTAAGAACCATTTCATGGCACTCTGAAATCATATCGAATCAAATCACGTTTATCATATCCTTAATATTATTTTTTTCAATTTAGCATCTGGACCTCTTTATCTGAATGAGCATTTACATAAACCATGATACACAACCTTAAAAATGTGGGGCTTCCCTTCTGAATCAACTGTGGTATTTGTTCTTTCAGTTTCCCTGTTGCTCCTGTGGCTTTCCTGGAGTCATTTCTCTGGAATATATTGGATGCAGTTGTATCTTATGTATTGGTTTCATGACAAGGGGATCTTGGTCAAAACAGGATAAGAAATTTCACCATGGAAAAAGAAGTGGGACAAGAGCTCTGTTCTCTTCATTGATTTCAAATCCTGTAAATATTCTATTAAATTATACCACTCTCAGGACAATCTTCATATCTCACAGCTTTGGACAATGAGATAGATTTTTTAGCATGTATATTCTTTACATAATTGATTATATTTTGCAGGATTTTTAAGTCATGAAAGAAACTAGGTGAGTTAAAAATCTGTATGTAAAATAGTTTTGCATAATATTCATTGGTGTGCAGAATCTCTGCTTCAGTGTTAAACCTACAACACCATTATAAAATAATATACCTTTTGAAACAGTCTCATCCAGCCTACTGAAGATAATTTTGCCTATAGAGTTGAAAAAGTAATACATAAATGACCTTTAACACAAATAATTTTCAACCGACTCCACTTTCATGAACAATTCAGCTATTTATTCTGGAGAACTGTTCATGACTAAAGAAATTCAATTCTAATATCGGAACAGAAACCTTGTCACACAACTTCTACCCATTCTTTTCATGGGCTACATATATTCTCACAAGTGATATCCTAATGGCACGCATAACGTATACAAAACAGAAACTACAATTGTTATGAGAGACGATTATTTAAATTTATGCCAAACATTTTAAATCTGAGAGTTACCAAGCCATTTATATTTTCATACGTTTCATCTGGATATGAGAGAACTCAAAACCAGTTATGAAAATATATGTCCTAAGGAACAGCCTCCAACAAGTATTTCTCTTCCACTCTGAGGTGATACAGAATGGTCCGAGAGAATGGTATTTTCCTTTAGAAAGAAATAGAAAAATATTCTAACATTAAGTGGTTTTTCATCTTCTTTAATAACAAGCGAAGCAAAACAAATGATGCTCATTTTCAAAACAGAGTATAATACACATACAATAAATTGAATGAAACTATAGCTACAGCTTAATGAGTCATCCCAAAGTAGTCATTAATGTAACCATCACCAAGATCAATAAGAAAATATAGATTTTTGCCACCACTTCAAAGAATTCTATTATCTCTTTCCCATCTCTATGCCCCGCTGTGAATAAAAGTAATCACTACCCTGGGCCGGTCACAGTGACATGGCTCATGCCTGTAATCCCAGCACTTTGGGAAGCTGAGGCGGGTGGATTACTTGAGGTCAGGAGTTCGAGACCAGCCTGGGCAACATAGTAAAACCCTGTCTCTACTAAAAACACAAACATGTGCCGGGCGTGGTGGTGGGCACCTGTAATCCTAGCTACTTGGGAGGCTGAGGCAGGAGAATCGCTTGAGCCTGGGAGGCAGATGTTACAATGAGCCAAGATTGTTCAACTGCCCTCCAACCTGGGTGATGAAGCAAGACCTTGTTTCAAAAAAAAAAAAAAAAAAAAAGTAACCACTAACCTGACTTTTATGGTAGCTACCTCATTGCTTTTTATCTTCTCAAGGTTTTTACTTTTACTAAATACACATATGTCTCTTCACACTACAATTTAATAATGTCTATTTTATTTTATCTTTGTATCAATGGAACCATTCTGTGTATTATATTCTCTATTACTTCTTCCACTCAATGTTATGTTTGTGGAACAAATAACATTTTTGGATGTAACATATTTCATTCAGTCTTCAAACATGTATATTATTATACTACTGAATCAAGCATGATATATTTGACAGGGTGCTAGGTTTGTTTCTCATTGTTAGCTGTTGTGAAAGATGCATCATAAACATTCTTGTGTGTGTGTCCTTGGGGCACATGCCCATGTATTTCTGTTAGATATGACCCAGGGATAGAATTGATGATTATAAGCTAATGCAGATTTCAACATATGTAGACAATGCCTAATCATTTTCCCAAGTCGATACACATAAGTATGCACGTTCTCATTTATGCACATTCTGGCTAAACACAATGCTTGTCTGTCTTACACTTAGGCATCCTGTTGTGTATATAGTCATATATCATTCTGGAGTAAACTTGTAATTACATAATGCCTAAAGATCATAAGCACCATTTTGTCTTTATTGGCCATTGTATTAGCCTCTTTTGCAAGGTATCCATTCTAATTTCAGCACTCTTCCTATGAGATTATTTGTCTGTATGTTATTGACTGGAAGCATCTCTTCATGTTATGGACGTGAGTATTTGTCAAGTATTTATTAGTCATAAAAATAATTCCAGAAAAACGGTAACAAGTTCTTAACATGTTCTTTTATTCCTTTAATTGTGTCTTACAAATTTTTAATTTCTCCAGATTTTCAATCTTTTCTTCTATGGTCAGTTCTTCTTGCATTCAATTTAATGTATCTTCCTACATCTCCTATGTTCTCTTCTAAAGTTTTGTTTTTATGCCTTGCATGTCCAGATTTATAATTCTAGAGTTAAAGTTCCTGTATGATGTGACATAGGAAATAATTTTGTTAATTTCTATTTGGGTGTCAATTTTTTATAGAATCATTGATTGAAAATACCAACTGTTTTTGACTACTTTGCTTGATGAATTTTGATTATTCATGTGTATCAGTTTTGGTCTCTTCATTCTTTCATTTTTAATTTATATTTTATTCT